TATGTGCTGACTAAGTATAGAAAATAGTAATTTAAAAAAAAAAAAAAACTTGGCTATAAAAAACAATTTTTCTTTATACATTTATAACGCATATACCTGTGTTATACCAGTTTTTTATTGATTTTTTAAATCTTGAACTCTATTTAATGTAGAATGGTAAAACTTGTTTTTACTTCATTAACACTTAGAAAATTAAGAAAAGTTCACTATCCGGCATATACGGTAAAAATATCCGTTACACCCCTAATTTTTATTGCTATTATTTTTGTTAACTGGTGGTATTTTAAAAACTCACAATTCGTTATGAAATTGTGGTTTTTAAACAAGATAGCATTGAAGCCCAATACTCAGCAATTAGAAATTTGTTAGATGCTTTTTATCTCATACAGTTCACCTACTTCTAGCCCTGGCTATTTAAAAGAAGTTTGTACAAGATTAGCTAAGTTTCCTGGCTGACCATTATTCTTTTTAACCTCTTGCTATCATGTCGGAGAGCTTCATATAGCCTCAGCTGTAAATAAAACTGTTAAGCTGAAGAATAAACTATTTATATCATAAATCCATAAAAGGTTAAAAAATAATAGGTTAAAGATAAAACTGCTTCACTTTAAAATATCTTTTTACAAAAACAAAATGAATAAGTTCCTAATTTTAAAATTATTTACATTTAGACTTTTGAGAAGTGTAGAGGTTATTATGAACTTGCGGGAAAAAATCAGACCATTAGGTAAAAGTTAACAAATATGGAGCTGTTTCACACGCCTTGAATTTCATGAAATTCAAGTTGCATTTCTCTAAATTATGGCAGGTTTTTATTCTGTGTAATAAAATACTCAAAGAGATCAAAAGAATGGCTGACTACATTTTTCTCTTCAAGGAATCACAGTTTTTGACCTGCGACTTTACTGATTCTTCACTTCCTAAAGTAAAACTTAATTTCATAAGTTTTGATATTTTAGTTTTATTTTTTGTGAATAATTTGTGTCATAAAGTAACAATATTTTTTGTGAATAATTTGTGTCATAAAGTAACAAATTGTTTAAAAACAATGATTTGCAAAATGGTTTAAAATCAGATGTAAAATACAAAGAAAATAACTCTAAACCATTTTTTTTTTTTTTAATGACAGACTTTTCTTAAAATCAGTAGAAAAAAATAAAAATGAAATCAATAGAAATAGCACTTCGGTTTTATCTTGTCAAAAATAAATGTAATAAGTAATTAGCAATGTCATTTTAAATCTTATTTTATCTACATTGCATTATTTTTAATTTACACTTTTAATATCAACAAGACTATTGACAGATGTATAATGAGCCTGCTGCAGAGGTGAAATTCAAATCATGGTAAAACTTTAGTTGTGTTTGGTGCTGGCATAGGCATCTTTTGACCGAGATCACAATATAAAAATGTTAGTTGATAAAGACCAGCCACTAGGTCTTGAGTTGTATATTTCACTTGAATACTGGTTACTTTTTGATATTGTAAGTCATAGTTTGAAAAAATGCCTACGAATGAGACTCCCTCAGACTTTTTGGTTACAATGAATTCCAAAACTTTAAAAACCTTTCAAAGTTGTATCAAACATATCAGAACTCACAGCAAAATCGTAAATCGTCAAATGGGGGTGGGGGCTCGTGAATAATTAAAAAAAAAAATTTTCATTAACGATCTCCCAGAAATTCTCACATTTAATGTGGAATTGTTTGCTGTTGATACTTCCATTTATTCTTGTCGTGATAAAAAGCCAACACTCTGATTGCTTAGAAGGGGCATTTGAGCTTGAAACAGATTTTAGTGGCTATTGAACTTTAACTAAGATAAAACTAATTTTTTTTCAGCTAATCGTTATTGCAACAATCTAGATCTGCCTATATTTATAAATGGTAACATACTCAATGAGTCATTTACCCTTTGTCTTCTAGGATAAACTCTTACTTCTGATCTTCCTTGAAAACCATATATCAAATCCATTGCTAATTTAGCATCTGCTAAGTTTACATCTCTTTATTGTACTCGCCACTTTCTTACTCCGAATTCTATTTTTTATCTTTATAAAATTCTAATCCGTCCTAGTATGAAATATCTGAATGTTGCAATATCTAAAGCAAATCTTTGGATAATATATATATATATATATATATATATATATATATATATATATATATATATATATATATATATATATACACACACAAACACATATATATATATGAACAAGCAACGCCAACTTATGTAATACGAATATGTCTTATCCAAAAACTTTTGGCAGACAATCATCATCCTTATATCATACTGCATTTAAAGTTCAGTTCTTTTTTTATTATTCTAATTGATGACAACAATTAACCCCTAAAGCAATCACATTTAAAGTATATAAGTTGTATCGTTTTTTTAAAAACTGCAATTATAAATTTTCAAAACAGAATGTGTTTGTTTACATTTTTTTGTCACTTATTCTGTTTCTTTAATTAATTTATTTTTTATTTAATTTTATTGT